TAAAATAAGGACATCCTAAGAAAAAGTAGGACATTCTGGGATTAAATCAGGAACCGGGACGGCTTCTCTAAATCAGGGACATCTCTGGAAAATAGGGACGCTTGGAGGGTCTGTCATCCACTCCCCTCTCCCAATTAACCTCCATCTCGAGGGCCTGATCTATGATATCACCAGGGCCACTCTGTGACATCATCAGGTGCTGCTCCTAGGTCTCTGAAATCTCAGTGGCTAGGATGCTTTTGACCTGGCAACACTTACTGTCACGCGACAGCACGGAGACTGATCTGGGACTGCAACAGCTCCAGGCTGGCAAATCAATCTCACAGCTTCTCCACCTTTTGTGAATGCAGTGGGGGCTGCACAGCATGCAGATTGCAAGGTTCAGACCAGCAGGAGCAGGCTGCAAATTATAGCACAGGCCAATGAAGGTCTTTCTTCATCTTCTCTCCCCCTCTCAATCAACCTCTATCGTTGGGGCCTTGCCCTATTATATCACTGGGGTTGCCCTGTGACATCACCAGATGTGCCTCAGGTTTGGACCCTGAAATCCTTGCCTGAGATGCTCCTGATCTGACAGCAGCTCTCCAGGATTCAGACAGGGGTCTCTCCCAGTGTTATCCAGAGATGTCGATAGTTGAACTTGTGATATTCTGTGTGCAAAAAGGTCACCCCATGCGATTGGAGCCACTCTCCTTAATTTATTTGTTCCACCTTTCCACCTAACAGGAGGGGGGGCCTCTTGGTAATCTTACCTCCCTCAGAAGTTTTGGAGGAGGCAACCCAGAAGAGCGACTTCTCTGTGGCAGCCCCTAAGTTGTGGGACTCCCTTCCCACCTGGCGCCATCATTATACAGCTTTTGGAGAATGTTGAAGACGTGCCTCTTTGACTCCAGAATTGGATATTTTCAGGACCAGCCTTATTGTTATGAATGTAAATTGCTTTAAACTGGTTTTAATCATTGTGTTTTAAATGTTGTAACCCACCATGGACCTTAGGATAAAAGGGAGGAGGAGATGGCTCCAATGATCTGGGGTTCGAAGGGTTCTAGCTCCGGGGAGTAGACCATCTGGTTCCTGATCTAAACTAAAAATGTGGGACATCGCAAAAGAGAATTTTTTGTGTGACAGGACTGTGGAATGAGTCATTCAGTGCCTTTAAAAGATGGATGGGCACGTCGTCCTCAAGAGTGGAGGGACAGAATTGCCTTTGGAGGGCTAGTTTTTATTGCCACACTATGGATCGCCACAGCAAAGGCTGATGGAACAGCTCACAGAGAGGAGATGACTACCATCCATTTATAGGTGTAAAAAGACAGAGGGGAAGCAAGCTATATTACTGAAACGTGCCACAGGCATCTCTCAGCCTGGATGTGTGTGTGTGCGCGTGTGCACGCTTTATGTACCTTTAAAAGGCCCCTAAATGTAAAACCTATATATTGTTATGCTTGCCAGTTTCATCGTAGGGTTATAAGCAGCGGATTTACGGCGGAGCCGGTAACCCGTGTCTTTGGAGGTTTAGTGTACTACTGTGTATTAAATGTTTTATGAAAAGGGCAATTAATTTTTTTCCTTTATGAACAGAGCTTTTTTTAAACTCTGTTTTTCTGAAGTGGTCACACTATGCTTAAAAAGGAAAATGCTGAGGGCAGAGAACACATCAAGGGCATCGCTGTAGCTCCTGCCTTTCCGGCTTGACAAAGAAAGGGAGCATGGACTTTTAGACAGAGTTGCCCTATGGCAAGCCATTGGCTAACCAACAGCCACCTGGGATTTGATCCTTTGGATCTTAAAATTCCTCAGCAAGTATCCCCATGCAAACCAACTGGGGGAATTGCCAGTGTTCATTCTCTCCTCCGCCCCCTGGAATACTCCCTATCTTAAGTTAGGGAAGCCAGAAGTGTAGGTTTCTGGAGGCACAAATGCCAGCAGAATGGGATGGGTGGTTAGCAGGAAATTCATTGGCAGGTATTGCAGGAATTAGCCAGAGCTGGGAAGATGTAATATAGGGGCAGCCAATGTGGTACCCTTCCAGATGTTGCTGGACTACCCAAAAACTCCCACCAGCTTTGATCACTGGCCATACTGGTTGGGACTGATGGCAACTGTAGTCCAACAAGATCCAGGAGACACCGTGTAGCTTACTAAATCACGGCTGTGTGCTCTCCCCTGCCTCCCCCCTTCTCTGCTGCAGCTACGAGGAAGATCTTGAAAGGTACTGCTTCTGCTAGCCATTGTTCTTGCTTCCTTATAACTCCACCGCATCTAAACAAGCCAGGATTAAACCATGGTTTATTATTCTGTCTTGGTCACTGTCAATAGTTTAAACCAAGGGTAAGCTGATATGGTGCCCTCCAGAACATTTTTGGACTGCAACTCAAACGACGATTGGCTATGCTGGTTGAGGCTGATGGGATTTGGAGCACAACAATAGCTGGAAGGCACCATGTTGGCGACTCTTGGTTTAAACCAACCAGAATTCCCCAAGTTTTTGTGTAATGGGGAGCTCTGATTAATTTAAAAGTGGAAGCAGGTGTTTCCAGTGCCCAAGGGAAGAAAGGGGAACGGGGAACATCCAAGCCAGAGGCTGGAGCACGGAATGCTAAACTATTGTTTAGTGTCGCATCCAAACCAAGTCAAGGAGACTGGAGAATAGAAAAGAAGATCAGGAATCTTAGGTCATATCCACACCATACATTTAAAGCTCATTTAAAGCAATGTCCTGTGCAAAGAATAATGGGAGCTGCAGTTTGTTAAGGGTGCTTGGAACTCTAGCTCTATGAGACGTAAAGTACAGTTTGGGGAAAATGTGCTTTGAATTGGTGTAAAATGTGTGGTGTGTGGCTGTGTTCTTAGTTACTTGGAAAAAAACTCTCAGAAAGGCCTGCAGTGACACAGTCATGAAGCTATGCCTGATTGGCTACATGGCTCATGATGTCATCACATTCACAATGTGAGCCCTAATTGGCTAGGAGCACATTGGTGTGAAGAAGACAGAAAACAGTGCCTGGAAGCAGCCGAGAAAGGGGATAGATTATATACCTGTAGCATCAAAAAGCCGCACACTTATAGCTTCAAAAAGCTATAAACGGAAATAGAAAGGTGTGTTTGGTGTTTATTTGACAAAGCCTGAGATCCATCTTGCACCCCCTGAAAATACCATTACTGGCCCAAAAAAATTTTACAGGTAAAAATTCACCACAGTACATTGTACAATAACTAAATGAGAGGCTATTGCAGCTCCATGGTGTTTGTGTTGTAAATCCCCCCTTTCTGCTCTGACTCTCTGTACCTCCATATTGTCAACTCTGCAATGGCGAGGAAGAAATATGCAGGCACCAAATGGCAGATTTACTGCAACAGAATCTTGGATATCGTGACCACTTAAAATGAGTTGTTGCCAAAATGTTCAGAGAAAAACGATACATTAACCATATCGACCATGTCTCCAACGAAGTATTGGTAGGAGACATTAATAATACAGAAGAGGGTAATATATACATTCCTTCTTCTGTTAATCATACATAATCGACAAATTGCCAGCTATTGATATATAATCTGTGGTGTAGTTTTCTACCTATTAGTGATACCCTCTTTGGTTTTGGTTTTATTTTATTATTTATTAATGTATTTCTTTCCTGCCTCTCTCCCAGTTTGGGTTTCAAGGCGGCTTAAAGAACGTCATTATAAAATACAGGGCAATAAAGAAACCCAGGTACAAAACAATGATTAAAATGCATCAGAACACATTTAGATCCAACAAGTAAAATTCAGTTTGCCCTGAACAGCAAAGTCAAGGTCTTTTTAGATTCCCACCCCAATTTGCAGTCAACCACATTAGGTCAATTACATAGAATGTAGAAGCCAAGAAAAAGTTCACAAATCCAATATCTGACAGTGGGGATATTTTTTAATTTTTTTAGAAAGCATGGTATGATTTCTCTCTCTCTTTTAAAATGTGCATCTCAGGAGAGAGTGGGACTGTTGAGTCCAATAGATCGATTCACACGGAGATGAATAGCTGCTGTTCCCCAAGGTGGGTCCGGTAAAGCTTAGGTGAAGCATGAGTATGTGGTCATCGTCCGTTATGCTGACCTTTTGCAAAGTTTACTTTGGCTAAAGGGTAGGCCGTCAGCTGGGAATACAACAGGTTCCTGAGCTATCCATCTCCTCATAGAGCATCAGGAGAGTCAAGCAAGCTTTGGGGCATTGGACTAAATAATAACTGGATTCACTTTAAAATACAGAGGTATGAGACTTTCACAAAGGCTGCTGTCGCATATAAAGCTTTTGCTCCCTTCTCCCACTTCCTTGTGTTCATTGTAAATTTCTTTAAGTCTATCTATCTATCATCTATCAACTATCATTTATATCTATCTATCTATCTATCTATCTATCATCTATCTCTCTCTCTCTCTATCTATCATCTATCTATCTCTACCTACCTACCTACCTACCTATCTATCATCTATATCTTTCACCACAATATTCACAGAATTGTTTGTTTGTTTCATAGACTCATAGAATCATAGAATTGGAAGGGACCCAGCTACACTGGCAAAGAAAAAGCGATTTATCTGTGTTGTATATTTATTAAAACAAGGTGAAACCAGATGGCACTGTGGAGTTCTGTTTTCGCCAACCCGATTTCTCATACAAAGTTTACAACACGTTCAACTGAAATGCTTCTTTGATGTGTCTAGAGCCAGCCCTAGTCCAGCCCCCTGCAATGCAGGAATCACAGATAGGTTTATATGCCACTCGGTTGTTGAAAAGAAAAGAAAAATCTCTCAAAGTGGTTTACAGAAAAAAGGATAAAGCAATGAACCTACCGGTTAAAAATATAAACAGTTTAAAATTACTATTTTAAACATTCCCAGCATACTTAAAATGGATACACCCCATTATCGCAGTTCAAGGAGACATCCCAGCCAAGCGAAAGCCCTCAGAGTGTGTGTGGCGCAGAGCCAGAGAAGGGTGTGAGGCCAGTTAGGGATGCCTGAGGAGCCATAGCTTGGTGGTAGAGCATCGGCCTTGCATGCAGAAAGTCCCGGGTTCAATGCCCATCATCTCCAGCTAGGGCTGTGGGAGAACCATGCCTGAAACCTTGGGGAGCAGCTGCCAGTCAGTGTAAGCAATACCAAGCTGGATGGACCAATGGCCTGAGTCTTCTTGTTGAGAAAGGGCCACAGTTTGGTAGTAGTGCTTCTGCTTCACATGTAGAAGGTCCTGGGTTCTATCCTTGGTATCTGCAGGGGTAGAGCTGGGGGAGCCCCCTGCCTTGAAACTCTGGAGGGTCGCCACCAGAGTTGGATGGACTGATGATGTAAGGCTCATTGCTATATCCTTATGCACATTTGTGTCTGAGACTCCACACCCTTTCCCCAAGGCATCCATACACAAAAAGACAGAGCCACTCTCGGCCTCTTTTACCAGCAAGCACAAGACATAAAACATCTTTCATATGACAAGAAGGGAATGACTTTGCATTTGTATTCCATCTCTTCCTGCCCCCAAAGAACAATGGATCATCAGTTCCGGGGCTGCTGTGTCCATTCAAAGAGAAGTATTCTAAATATATTGCTCATCTGTCAACACTCAGCTCGCAGCTTATTCTAACTCCTCTTCCCTACAGCTCCGAAAGGCTCCTCCTCCCAGTATGTGCAAACACAATAGAACTGTTTGCATGCATTCAAATAATTCGTCTCTGTGTTCCCCCCCCCCTTCTTCCTCTTGGCATTTTGACTTGACAATTTGTCAGTCTCATAATTAGTTGTACAATGGGAGCGGGGAACCAGTTTGTAACACCATCATTCCAGTTCACATGCTTCATTGCATGAGACAAAAATATACGCGGTCGGTGGCGTTAACGGAGCTGCAGAATATGTCAAGATGAACAGAAAATATTTCTTCCTGAGGAATTTATTCCAAACCAATCTTGTCCCTCTTAACAATTACATCTGCAACATGAAATAAAAAGATGTTTCTTCAGGGTGATAATTAAGGCAGAGTTCAGACAGAGGCCTGGTTCACCATAAGAAGCCATGAGGTGAACACAAGCAGTGCCACAGCCCATCAAACAAACCATGGTTTGTTCAGTCTTCCAGATGCTCTTGTGCCTTTGTAGTTTGGTGAGTGCCTGGGATGGGGTGACAAAGCAAACCATAGTTAAGCAAGAGTGCTGGGTTCTCAAGTAACTCTTTGTTAGCAGTGAACCAGCCATAGTTTAAGTGACTGGGAAGGCTTTGCACATGACACAAGTTAAAACTTGCCTAGGAAATGTGGCTGGATGCCTGGAACACTGAACAGGAAAGCTCTGTGCTGCAACATTTTGTTGCGAGCCCCACTTGGGGAAAAACCTACTGTTGCCCTGTATTTATGGCAAGTCAAGTGTTAAATCTCTAGCCTGAAGGGAAGGTAAGTGGAGCAGTGGGTCGGACGGGGCATAGACATGCCCAAAATTTTAAATGATGTGGAGAAAGTATAAACAGATCAGGCTTTCTCTCCCTTGGATCATGCTAGAATCCAGAGTCAGCAACAAAGATGAATGGTGGGGTGATTTATGCCAGACAAAAGGAAGTCCTTATTCAAACAGTGCACTGAATTCATTCACACAAGAGTTCATTGAGTGGGTGAATGATTGATCGATATATTTATTGGCCTCATTTTTCATTAAAAAAAATTCAGCAGAGTGGTACACAATATTACAATAAGATAAATAAAAAACGTAGATAAAATCTGGTTGGGGGGAAAATTAATGTTTCAAAAGCCTGTCTGAATAACATAGTTTTCAGGAGATGTCTAAAAGTAGACAGGGATTGTTTCTGCTGAGCCTCCATTAGCAAGGAGTTCCACAGGGCAGGGCCTGCAAGGTCGACTTACCTCGTATACACCCACTTGAGTACTTTGAACCAGTGCTTTTTTCTGGGGGGTACGCATACCTAAACATTTTGTGAATCTAAGTTTGGCCTCATTGAGGGGCATTATTTAAATATGAGTAGGACAATGAGAGTACCCATAGACATTTTTTTAAAAAAAGAAAAAAGTACTGCTTTGAACTGGGGGGGGGGGAGAGATGGAAGATAAGGCAAACAAGATCAGAGATCCTATGCTTCTAAACACTAGTTTCAGGAGTCCACAAGTGATGGAGAGTTATTGTGCTGAAGTCCTACTTGCTGGCTTCCTATGACCACCTGGTTGTCCACTGTAAGGACAGAGTGCTGGCTTACCTTATTTATCCATTCATTCCCCATCTTTTTCCTGACAGGGACTCAAGGTGGCTTATGAACAAGAACAGCTTAAAACATAGGAGGGGAAATCATTAAAAAAAAAATTAAACACACACACAATCTGTTAATAACATACATTTAATTACAATAATAACTAGAAAGTCTTCACCAGCTGGTGGAAGAATAGCAAGGAGGAAGCCGGTCTAACTTTTCTAACTTCCAAAGTCTAGGGGCAGCCACTGAGAAGGCCCTCCCCCACATCCCCACCAAGCATGCCTGTGAGGGTTGCTGGGGCTGAGAGAAGGGCCTCCTCTGAAGATCTCAAGACCTGGGCAAGTTCATGTGAGGGAATACAGTCTTTCAAATAGCTTGGGCCTAAGACAGATCAGCTTTGGGCCTGATCCAGCAGGGCTGTTCCTTTGGTTTTATGTTTTTAGGCTGATAATCCTTTGATAACCCAAGTTTTCCCAACCTCGCCTATGCTTGCAAAAGCCAGCCACACTGCCGTTGTTTACAGCTTTGTGTTTCCACTCCACCAAGAAAGATCAATGAGAAAGGAAAAGGAAAAATGCATCAAAGCAAGAATTCAGCTGATGACTCTGACATAATCAAACTAAATAAGTTAGCTAATTAACTCTACAGATCGTATAATGAAACCACCTCATCAGAGCCAGACAGATCAATTCTTCCTCACCTGGTTTTCATAATGATTAACAGGGGTTTAAACAACTATAGCTGCTAGCTATAAACGTTACAAGCTGAACTTCTGTTGTTGGTGCTGTAGTTCTTTCTCATTCTACATCTACAGAAAGAAGCAAAATGTAACAACCGCTTCCACTTTATCTGTGATTCCTGCATTGCAGAGGGCTGGACTAGATGTCCCTTGGGGATCCCTACCAACCCTACAATTCAGTTCTTTGATTCTGCTTTGAATCTACATTCAGAAGCCTGCAAAAATAAAAATAAAAACTCTTCAGCAGGGAAACAAGTGCTCACAGCCAAAGTGGCCAGGATTGATCCCTCCACTCACCAGCTGATGAGCAGAGCGTTCAGTCTTGCTGCCTTCAGTGCAGGGGTCTGCTTTGAAAGCACATTCCCAGCAGGATTGAACCCCACCCTCCTGCCCATCAGGAAGTTGGGCAAATGGGCACCATGGACTGGAGAAAATGTCTCGGCGGGCCAACTTGCACATCCTGGTGGGTTGACATTGGCACAGAGGCCAGAAGTTCTCCTGTTCTAACATGATGTAATCTGGGAGGAAATGCATTGAAATCATAACCGGCAATTAAAATACAGGGACAAATTACAGCAAAATAGGGGGTTCTTTTAAGAAAAAAGAAAGAAAATTTGCTTTGTTGTTGTTCTTTTCATGATCTTCGGCTTTTCAGCACTGTTTAGGGTATTGCTTATCTTTTTGATTTGTGTATAAGATAAAGGCATGTTGCAGGAAAAGGATCTTGATTACAACCATGGATGCAAAGCAGATTGATTATTTTACTCTTCTTCTTCTTCTTCTTCTTCTTCGCAAGCATATCTGATGCTCCTCTAGCCTCCATAGAGAGGCCTCCATCTGCTCCTCTGTCACTAGCCAAAAGGCTAAGGATCACTGCCATGCAGAATCCCAGAAAAGGTCGCATAAGCTTGACCTGAAGTGCCACGACACCTGTTTACACCTGTCCATTTTTGTACTGGCCTTGTCAAGCCGATCTCATTGCCGTCCTCTCCCTTTTCCCTCGTCTGCTTCCCCCCACCAGCCGCATTCCCCTGTGTGTTTGGTCTTTTCCTTTGTAAGCCTGAGGGCAAGGCCGACGTCCTCTTTTCGTGTACAGCGCTGCCACCAGTGTGATGCATTGAATTTTAATTACAGCTATCCACAATATGATTTCCATCTGAAAAGCAGGGCTAGCTACTTATCAAGTCATGACCAACATGCAAATTTAAATTTTAAAAAGGATCTGGCATTAGGATGAACAGGAATGTGGAGGGGAGGAAGGGAGAGTAAGAATAAATAATAATAATTTTTTATTTATACCCCGCCCTTCCTGGTTTAAAAACCGGGCTCAGGACGGCTAACAGCAAATATAGAACATTGATTAAAGTGTGACTTTAAAACAGCATAAAATACAACATAAAATGCAGCATCAATATCAATAAAATTCAAAACTTCAGGGGTTGGGGGGAGGAACCAAAGCAGTAAGGATCCTGGTGACACTACTGGACAAAGCAGAATATATAGAGTTGCTACCATTTGCATAGCTGTCAACTTTTCCCTTTTCTTGCGAGGAATCCTATTCGGAATAAGGGAAACGTTGCAAGCTATGACCATTTGGGGGGCAGGAATCCAGAAGCGTTCCAATTCAGTTTGTGACCCAGGATTTGTCAGGACCGAATGCACAGCCCCAATACCTAAGAACAGCAGAGAGCCTGCTGGACCAGGCCAATGGCTCACCTAGTCCAGCATCTTGTTTTCACACTGGCCAACCAGATGCCCCAATGGGAATCCCTCAAGCAAGACATGAGAGCAAAAGCACTCTGCCCACCTGTGATTCCCAACAGAGGCATGCATAACACTCCTTCCCCCATATTATCTTCACAAACACTCTGTGAGGAAGGTCAGGCGGAGACACCGTAATTGGCCCGTGGTTGTCCAGTGAGCTTCGTGGCGGAGAGAGGATTTGAACCTAGGTCTCCACAGTTCAAGCCCAATGCTCAAACCACTGGCCCACACTGACTTCCCCAGTCATTGGACCTGCATGTCCAGAAAAAGGAGTAATTGCTGAATTTCCTCTTAGCAGTCAAATGCGCTAGAGGTTTAGGAAGCCTGTCAGGGAAAATAGTGGCATGCA